TAGGCTATGAATTATTGCCTCTGCCTGTATGTAGCACAGGAATGTTCCTCTGGTACTGGCTTTGCTCTGGGTGCAATCAGCTCTGCCCACTGACCTATCAGCTAGAGCTCTGCTGGGCTGTCCTCTTCCAGAAGTTGTCCTCAGCCCTCTGGTCAGATGGGGCCAGAAGACACTCTTCACAGCACGCAGGGTTGTGATTCACCCCCCTGCCTGAGCCTGAGCAAACCAGTCTCTGAGGTCAGCAAAACTCCTTTGAAGATCTGAATCAAGCATCTCTGCACCCCATCTGTTCCCTGGCCATAGTACATCTGATTTAGTCCTGCAGATGAGCAAAGCTACAGTTTGGGATTAGTCCTTGGGCACAGCAGGTATGAATTTGGTCTGCCAAGATCTGTGTACTGATTGTTGCAAGCCTCTCTCCCTTCTCTATCAAAACCAGATTCCAGTGGTAGAGCCCCATTGTTTCCCCTGCAGTCCCTATGGTATGGGATCAGAGCAGGGGCTCCTGCAAAGCACCCACAATGTTGGGGCAGTACAGATCATCTCTCCCTGGGTTTTCTTTTCCTATTAGAGGAATAGGAAGCTCAGGGCAGACCTCACCACATGGTGTTGCTCTGGTCTGGGGGAAGGACAATGCATTCAACATGTAGCTACTTCTTTTACCTTTCTAATGCCATCTCTCTTGGTCTCTGTAGTACAGGTTGCTTCTCAGTGATGTTTTATTCTGGAATAGTTGTTGGTTGTTCTTGTGAGGGAGAACAAAGTCAGAAACAACCAATGTTGCCTCCTTAGTGACATCAGAATCTGGTAGGCTTTTTAAGCAACTCTACTAAACCGTATGATCAAATTGTTTTTTTAATTTGACTTAGTTAATGATAATTGATCAAATAACTTCCCGTACCATGTTTATAAAAGGTCACAAAAAGGAAAAAGATATAGATTTCAAGAGTTTTTTAATCTCTGGCAAGAATAGACAAATAATGCAAGGCAGTGAGAGACAATGAGCTAGAGGTGGTGGATTAGTGCTGTGTAATCTGCACACAGAAAATTAGTCAAAGTATACTGAAGAACTGACATTTTTGCTGGAGAAAATAACCTGCTAATTCTCCAAGACCCTTTTTGATTTCTTATATCTTAATGACTGTCTTTTCAGGGAAGAGACAACAGTCATATGCCCAAAGAATAGAAAAAAAAAATCTATGCCATTATAAAATGTGGAGATGCGGCAAAAGCAGCGTAAGACTCAAGAATTTTAGTTGATAATAAAGTGAAATAAATACCATGATTTATAGATTAATTGAATCTTTTTTATTATTAGATGTTTGGTATTTGGATTAAGGAAGATGACACTTTTGATCTACTCTACACTTACAGATGACACTAAAAATGAAGGTGCCATCTTAAAAGTATGAAGTTTTACAACACTGAAAATGCTCCAACTAAAGCAGCATATCATCTTTTATATAAAGGGGAATTTTGAAATGGTTGATAGTGATTGAGAGCAATTCAAAAGGCCTCCAAGGAATCCCTGGATGGCTCAGCGGTTGAGTGCCTGCCTTCAGCCCAGGGCATGATCCTGGAGTCCCGGGATCGAGTCCCACATCGGACTCCTGCATGGAGCCTGCTTCTGCCTCTGCCTATGTCTCTGCCTCTCTCTCTTTGTCTCTCATTAATAAATGAGTGAAATCTTAAAAAAGAAAAAAAGAAAGCCCTCCAAATCTGAGGTTCTATGGACCTATGTTTAACATGTTGATTTCTTCCACAAACAACAAAGTATGAGAGAAGCAAATCAGACACAGGTGACAGAGTTCCTCCTCCTGGGACTCTCTGATGACCCCCATACTCAGAAGCTCCTATTTATTTTATTCCTGGGTGTCTACCTGGTTACTGTGCTTGCAAATCTGCTTCTCATGCACCTTGTTCAGGCTGACTCTCGGCTTCACACACCCATGTATTTTTTCCTCTGCAACTTATCTTTGGCTGACCTCTGTTTTTCTACCAACATCGTTCCTCAGGCGCTGGTTCATCTGCTATCCAGGAAGAAGATCATTTCATTCACACGTTGTGCAGCTCAGCTTTTACTCTTCCTCATTTTTGGGGGTACACAGTGTGCCTTTCTGGCGGTGATGTCCTATGATCGATACGTGGCCATCTGCAACCCTTTGCATTACCCTAGAATCATGACTTGGAGGGTGTGTGTTCAGCTGGCTGCAGGATCATGGACCAGCGGCATTCTGGTGTCTGTGGTAGATACCACTTTTACACTAAGGCTACCCTACCGAGGCAGCAATAGTATCGCTCATTTCTTTTGTGAGGCCCCTGCACTATTGATCCTGGCATCCACAGACACCCACACTTCAGAGATGGCCATTTTCCTCATGGGTGTAGTGATTCTCCTCATACCTGTATCCCTAATTCTGGTATCCTATGGCCACATCATAGTGACTGTGTTCAAGATGAAGTCAGCCATTGGTAGGCGCAAGGCATTCTCTACCTGTGGTTCCCACCTCATGGTGGTCATCCTCTTTTATGGGTCAGCAATTTCCACTTACATGACACCAAAGCCTTCCAAAGAACAGGAAAAACTGGTGTCTGTGTTCTATGCGATGATGACACCCATGCTCAATCCCCTCATCTATAGCTTGAGGAACAAGGATGTGAAGGGAGCTCTGAGGAAAGTGGCCACAAGGAATTTCCCATGCAGGCTTGAAATCTGCCACTGACTGTGAGACTTTAGCTCCCTGCATATAAGATTTGCTGAGTAATTTTCCTCAGCAAGGTTGGAATATGGTAAGATCCTCATCTTGGGACCTTGTTGAGACCTACCCTCCATCCTTCATCCAACACTTCCTTTGTAAAAGAAGAAGGATAATAATTCATGGACCAATAGAAGGAGGGTCTGCTTCCTTCTTGTTGGTTTTTTGGCACCTAAGAGTTTGGAAATCCTGAAAAAACATTTACATTTCAAAAACCCTGGAGTCTGTAAAATCTATCTTTTTTTTTTACCATGTTATGTATTATAATCAATCTATCCCAGATCCTACTCTTTTATCTTTTTGTATTTCTGAATCTCTTTGCAACATTAAATAATCAATAAATTAACAAACATTACTTAATCACTTAGGTGAGCAAGGTGCTACATGCGTGTTTACTGGCATATGCATTCTGTATATGTATTTGAAGTGGGTAATGAAGGGCGTGGGTACAATGAAGATGTATAAATGGTTTCTGCTGTCCTTCTCACACTCTTATTAGGGACATGGATATTTTATCTATCAGATAAGAGTAAAGACTGTATTTTGGAAAGTAAGAACAAATAGTGACATTCCAGGGCTAGCAAGAGTGAGGAAAATGCTGATATTAAGCCTGGGCCTAGAGGACAACTAGGACTTGGAGAGGGTAGGTGTATATAGAAAGCAGAAGACAGTAGTTGTGGACTTAGGTGTGTAGAGGCAAGAAAGCTACAGAAATAAATATTTCAGGTTCATTCTGTACCTACTTTCTGATTACCTATTACTGTATTAAAAAACAATCAAGGATAACCTCCCCATCTGAAGATATTTATTTTAATTCTGTCTACAAAGTCCTCTTTCCTGTGTAAGGTAACGTATTTATTGGTCCTGTGGATTAGGACATGGACATCTTTATTCTGCCTACCATATAAAGACAAGTAAAATGAATGTGAAGGAGTGATTAAATTTGTCTAAAATTGGAGATTATAAATGTATAATGGTGCCAATACAGTTAGTTGTGTGATTGCTATCACTGAAACAGAACCTCATGATCTACCTTTTAATATGTAAATTCTTCTAGTGATAATTAGAATGTGCTGCCTTTCTAGGTCCTTGGTATAGGAGAGCTGAAGGATACACTGTGTGGGAGACTGAACTGGTCCTGAGAACTCCATGGCACACAGAGAGTTATTTATAGAGTTTGTGGAGAAAACATGCCTATGCAGTAGATGTGATGTTACTCTGTTAATTATCAATAAATTCTTATGAATAGTTTACACAAAGCTATGGTGCCCACATCCCAAGTCTGCTATTTTTTCAAGAGTCCAGAGTTGGTCTATATTCACTGGACAAAATTCTAAAGATGGGCTACTACACTGGTTGAGCGATAGACAAAATTATAAGAACAGTTGATATCATCTAGTCACAATATGATTACATAAAAATCTAGTAAACAAAGAATCTTGTATTATTTACAGCCATTTCCTATATTTTTGTCCACTTAACTTAGGACACTCTTTCTGTCAAACAACTCTCAGATCCAACGTGACTAATTTGAGATTGAGGCAGTGTCCATGTGGAGTAGTCATTCTCCATATGAGGCACAGACCAATTATAGTAGCAGAGGAAGAAGTTATCATTTGCCAACCTAATAGTACATGGGTACTTTATAAGCCAGTGGAAGTTTTTAAGTATTGCTTTATTATTTCTCTTCTTCACTAGAATATATATTCCACAGGGAAAGAAATCACCTATTATATTCAGCACTGTGTCAAAATGTGTTGAAATTTCGAGTTCCAAAAAAAAAATGAGTGAAGAATGAAACAAAACTCTGCTATTTATTTTCGCCATCATCAAAACTTTACTTTGAAAGGAGAAAGATCCTGGAAAGTTGCAGCCAGAGTTTTTGGACAAACAGAAAATATAAAGGAGGAGATCATAAAAAGATATGGATGAAGAAGTTCAAGAAAAGTTAAAATAAGTAAAGAATGGTGAGTTGTAGTGTTGTTACTACAACAATTATAAACTTTCCCAATCTGTGTAATCTAGCAGCATCCTCAGATACATTGGGCCCACAGAATCCTGGGCCTACAGAAGTTCTCCTTTATCACTCATGTTCTTTCATTCAGAAACAGACCCTACTAAGTCCAAAATCCTAGTGGGTATATCACAGCTTTTAGATTAAGTAGGGACCAAAACCCATGGGAGGAGTTATTTTTTCTTTCCTTTGTCCTTGCATTTCATCCCTTAGGTTTGCATCTCACTCAGTCAGATTTTCTGAGGGCCCAGAGTCCTGTGGAGGACTCGCCTCAATGCAGCCTTCACTTCACTATTCCTTAAGCTGTAGATGATGGGGTTCAACATGGGAGTCACCACGGTGTAGGAGAGGGATAGCAGTTTCTTGCTCTCAGGAGAGGTACTCGATCGGGGTCGGAAGTATGTGAGGATGGCGGTGCTGTAGAAGAGAGAGACAACCAGGAGGTGGGAGGAACAGGTAGAGAAGGCCTTACGTTTCCCCTCAGCTGAGGGCATCCTGAAGATAGTGGAGAGGATGCGGACATAGGACCCCAGGATCAGCAAGAATGGGAAGAGGATAAATAGGACAGTGGCTGTCAGAGCCTCCAGTTCAAACAGAGAGGTATCAGCACAGACCAGTGCAATGACAGGGGGGCTGTCACAGAAAAAGTGGTTCACTCTGTTGGGGCCACAAAAAGGAAAGCTAAAAATCCATGTGGTTTGCACAGTGGCCACTGGAAATCCTGAGAACCAAGAGGCAGCTGCTAGCTGGGCACAGGCTCTGCGGTTCATAATGATTGGGTAACGCAAAGGGTCACAGATGGCCACATAGCGGTCATATGCCATTGTGGCCAGGAGACAACACTCAGCAGCCCCAAAGAAGAAGAAGAAATACATCTGAGTGGCACAGCCAAGGAAGGAGATGGTTGTGTCTTGGATGATCAGAGTATCCAGCATCTTGGGCACAATGACTAAGTTGAAGCCTATCTCCAAGAAGGACAAGTTCCTGAGGAAGAAGTACATAGGATTTTGTAGAGCAGAGTCAGCTGTAGTGACCAGGATGATGAGAACATTTCCCATTAGAGTAACCAAGTAAATAGTCAAAAACAGGAAAAACAGCAGAGCTTGAATCTCAGAGGACAAAGTTGAAAAGCTCACAAGAACAAACTCACTGACAACTGTCCAGTTACCCCACATCATTCTTCTGCCCAGGATTTCACTGAGCATTCATGTTCCAGGAAGGCAGAAGGCTCCATATGTTATTTAGACCTCTAATACACACTGGGAAAGAAAAGCCCCTATGGACTCATTCTCCACCTTTTTTATTCTAGTTGTTGCAAATCAGAAGCTGTACCTTCCAAAATGTAAAACAAAAAAACAAGAACAAAACAAACAAACATTGTGTCTAAGGGATTCACAATTTTGGGGAAGAATACTAACCTATTTTTTTCAGACTGAAATGAGGCACATCATATATATCTATACATCATCCCTTGACTTTTCTTTGCTCTATAGATAATGTTCAGTATCACATCTTCATTTATGGACTTCTACTCTCTTTCTTAGTACCAGTCATTGGTACTAAAAAAGAAGCCAGGTCAAACATTTCTGAAAAGAGGGTTCTCAATGCACAATGAAAGGTGGTGAGGTCAGTCATCATATGATTTCTGCAAAATGAAAGAGCAGGAAAGGGAAAATCAAGGAAAGTGAACCAGCAGTTACCAATGATCCCTGAGGAAGAGACCTGAATATGTCTTAACCTCAAGCAGCCCACACTCACGATGATTTTAGTAGATGCCAGGAGGAAAACCTATTCAGTCATTATTGTATCTTTTGCAGCTAGCAGAATGCTTAACTCCAAGTGCTTGGTAATTGATGTAGCCTAAGGTTTTATTTTTACAGCAGTTTGATGATGCTATACAGTCTATATAGTTAAGCTTACAGTTAAGTAAAACCTCTAATATATGTGTTTTTGCATTTGTGCATATTATAGGTGGTACATTCAGTTTTGTCTTCCAATATATATTTATTTTAAGTGTTTTGCTATGTTCTGAGAAGATATTTTAAAAGCTCTGTTATAAAAGCTCTGTCACTCACTATGCCACAGATGTCCATTCCCCTCAAATATTTAATCAATGTTTCCTAGGACAGAGCCTTGACTCTGGGGCAGATCACTTAAGCCATATCCCAAAATGAGTTGGAATCAATTTTTTAATCTCTAATTTTTTGGGCTCTTTAGTAAAGTGATTTATTTTTTTTATCTGTGACTTTAAATCATTTGAGACCTGGGTTGTGTATCAATAAACAGTTATATGTACTATTACATGGAATATATCTTAATGTAATAACAAATATCTCAGGAAAGTGTTCATTAAATGCCTTAGTGAAAGGCCAATAAACCATATCAAATGCTCATTCTTTTATCTAAGATCTAATGTCAACTTCCTTGTGAAGCTTTTTCTATCTCCAACCCCAATCAGGTTAAGTTACTTTCTCCATTGTGTTCCCCATAGCATATTTTTTAAGAGAGAGAGAGAAAGCACACGCAAGTGGGTGAGGGATAGAGGGGAAGAGAGAAAGAGAATCTTAAGCCATCTCCATTCCATACTCAGCAAGGAGCCCAATGCCAGGTTAACAGAGGGCTCAGTCTCAGAACCCTGACATCATGACCTGAGACACAATCGAGTCAGAAGCTTAATCGAGTCAGAAGCTTAACTGACTGAGCCTCCCACGTGCCCTATTCCTCATAGCATTTTAAAATATCCTTATTGTAATAATGGTTTTATCATAGTTATTTTTATATTTGTCCTCTCCTACAAATTGTGTATTCCTTGAAGACACAAACCAAATGATATACATCATTCTATCCATATTATATTGCCTGCTGCTTATGAAGTAACAATAAATGTTTGTTGAATTACTAACATTTATCTCAACAACATCAGTTAATTGACTTAACATGCTAATATTTATCTTTAAAAAGTAATGAAGTTCTTGTTCATGAAATTCTTAGTGAATCCATGATGGGGTCATCACTATTATTTTTTAAGTGTTTGTTAAAAAATTTAAACATTGTCTCTACCAACAAACAAATGTTTTAAATGATCATCTGCTAAATGATGTGGAAATAAATGTACAATTGTAAAACATGGCACAAATTTAAATTCTCCTTGTTATTGTTATTATCATCAATATTATTATAGCTTTTATAGTTTCAAAAAGACTCTAAACCAAACCTTTTGGTAAAGCAGTAGATAGAAAAGAATCCAATAAAGTGTAGCTGAGACCCATGATAGTTGAAACTAGAGGAACACCATGTAACAAAAGTCTAGGACAGAAAAGATTCCTTTTTTAATAAATTTATTTTTTTGTGGTGTTCAATTTGCCAACATACGGAATAACACCCAGTGCTCATCCCGTCAAGTGCCCACCTCAGTGCCGGTCACCCAGTTACCACCACCACCACCCCCCGCCCACCTCCCCTTCCACCACCCCTAGTTCGTTTCCCAGAGTTAGGAGTCTTTCATGTTATGTCTCCATTTCTGATGTTTCCCACTTATTTTTTCTCCTTTCCCCTTTATTCCCTTTCACTATTTTTTATATTCCCCAAATGAATGAGACCATATAATGTTTGTCCTTCTCCGATTGACTTATTACCCTCCAGTTCCATCCATGTCGAAGGGACAGAAAAGATTCTTGGGCAAAAAGTTCAGATGTTATCAAAGAAAATCTCAGCTAAGGAAGCAGAGATGACTTTCCCTTTTCTTTCAAACCACATCCTGCAGAGTCTCCACACTAAGTCCAATGAAGATGAATAAGGGGATGGGCAGAGGCTCAGATTCCCACTTACTTGTCTTTCACTTTTCTCCTGTCCCCTTAAACTGCCCCTTCATGCTTCTTAGGGTCCTAGGGCTACACAAAAAACAACTTGCCCCCTCCCACAGTTGTAATTCCATATTTTCCATCATCTGTCTTGATCCTTCTCCAATCATCCCTTTATATTGCCATCTTTGTTCTAGACTTTCTTGTTTTTTTCTTCCATCTTTCACCTTTCCCTTTGGTTTTTTAATTTTGTTTTTTTAATAATAAATTTATTTTTTATTGGTGTTCAATTTGCCAACATACAGAATAACACCTAGTGCTCATCTCGTCAAGTGCCCCCCTCCGTGCCCGTCACCCATTCTCCCCCACCCCCCGCCCTCCTCCCCTTCCACCACCCCTTGTTCGTTTCCGAGAGTTAGGAGTCTTCATGTTCTGTCTCCCTTTCTGATATTTCCTACCCATTTCTTCTCCCTTCTCTTCTATTCCCTTTCAATATTATTACTCAGCCATTAGAAATGACAAATACCCACCATTTGCTTCAACGTGGATGGAACTGGAGGGTATTATGCTGAGTGAAATAAGTCAATCGGAGAAGGACAAACATTATAAGGTCTCATTCATTTGGGGAATATAAATATAAATAATGGTTTTTTAATTTTGATAAGTTTTCCTCTCCTAAGCAAGGAAGAGATGGTGGAGGGGATGTTGCTAGGATGATATTCTGAAGAACTGATCTTCCTGTAGCTGCATGCATGCAGTTGTGGTTATCAGGATGTTATGGATGAATATAATTCAGCTGCTTTTTTACTACTGGTCTTGCAAGCACAGAGCCTCAGATAAATGGAGTTGTGTTTGCAGCCATCAGAGTAGGAGAGAATCTTATGGAAGGGGAACTTATGCAGAAACTTAGCTGAGGTAGTCTGCTCAGCTACACTTCTACCCAGAGTATCTCCTTTCTGAGGTAACATCTTAGAGATTCCATGCACTGTTTGAACAAGAAAGAACTAGGTAACATACTTAAGAAAACTTTGTGAAACTGGGGGGCGGGGTGTGTCTAGGTGGCGCAGTGTGTTGAGCTTCTAACTCTTTGGTTTCAGCTCAGGTGGTGATTTCAGGATTGTGGGATGGAGTTTGGTTTTGGGCTCCCTGCTCAGTAGTCAGTCTGCTTAAGATTGTCCCCTTCTCAGTCTGCCCCTCCTCATTCTTCTCTCGCTCTCTCTCAAATAAATAAATAAATAAATAAATAAATAAATAAATAAATAGAAAACTTTGTTATACTCTCACATGAATAATAGTTTCAGGCCACATAGTTATAAGGCAAAGACTTCAGAGTCATAAAATCAGAGTTAAAGTACTGATTATTTTTTAGCTGTGAGAAACAGAGCTACTGACATGATATTTTCTGAATTATGGTTTTTCTCAACTATAAAATGACTATGATTATGGTGCCCAAATCATGTGAAATGAGATAATACATATGTAAATGCTTCAAATATTCTAAAGCCCAGTACATACATTATCATTGTTTTCATCCTTTCCCAGATTAGTTAATTTGTCAAGTCTTATAAAACTACATGGTTTTTTTGTTTGAGACCTCTGATATCCCTTCTTATTTCCTAGAAATGTGTCAGAGAAAACATGTTTTCATGGTAATAAGCCATCATCCTCTTTACAAATGAGTTCACATCTGTGCTCTGTCCACTTTGCTCTTTACTTACCTCCTGTGAGTGATATTTGTATCACATTCCAGAGAATCCCTGGTCTGTGTTAGCTGCTCTAGAGTACCCTGACACTCTGTCCAAATGAGTGACTCCAGGGGAGTTCTAAAATATGACTATTTCTGTGCAAATCCTTTCATAAAAGCCCTGAATGTATCTGTTCCAGTCATTTCAAAGGTACTCTCAGTCTTCATTGCTGGTGAACTCTGGGTTTCCACCTTGTCACATTCTCAAAGAAGCTTTGTCCAGGGTTGTGCCAGACACCCTGGGTAAAACCTAAACTGTGGCTGAGTCAGTCCCTGTAAAGGAGCTCTGAGCTGGGCAATCACTCTAGAGGAGTGTCAGTCACTCTAGAGGATTCCAGGCTGAGTCTCAGGACTGTTTTTGGTCCCTGCTGTTTACTGTAAGGGAATGATTCTCCCAATGCTTCCTCTTCCTCAAGTCAAGTCATAAATTCACTTTCTGACAGGTGTGAGTTTTGAGGAATTCCTAAAAGTGCAGAAATTCATAAAGATTCTGCAATCTCATAAATGGAGGAGATCTTTGCTGCAGCTCCAACTTTTCCTGCACTCATGAGGCTACAAGAGCAAAGGGGGGGAAAAAAAACCCTAGCAGTCTGTCTATTCTCCAAGGTTTGCACCAGAGAGGGATTAGAAGAAC